ATCCAATTCAATAATAATTTCCAATTTATTCCTGTAGCCAAATCCTTTCCAATATATTCTTATTATATGGGTGCCAGATTGAGTTAAAAGTAGTAAATATGGAAGACCGTCTGTACTACATTTTGAGTTGACATTCTTCTCCCTGTTAGTTCAAAACATTAGCTTTACATTAGTCAAGCTTATTTTAAAAGATCGCTGCAAAAGTGGCAAGTAGATAAATTCGAACATAATGTGGCAACCAAGCCGATAAATCTTTTCTTGCATGGAAGAAAGTGAAGGATCTATTTATGACCTAGTTTTAAAATAAATCGAATTTCCAACTTCATGCCCACATGGTTTGTTTGTTTTTTTTTTTAATGAAACACTGATTATATAACAATAGAACTGACAGATTAGATTACAAGCAACAAATTGGTCCACATTTGAAAAGCCATCAACACTAAATTTTGAATTGACTTTCTTCTTTTAAAAAGTCCAACTTAGTAAAGGTCATTTTTAAAAATCAGTGGAAAATGTTGCGGGTGGTATCCGCTTGTTTGTTAATGATACGCTGATTATCTAACAATATAATTGCCTATTTTAGCAATTAGCCCTAGAGGTCACAAGTAACAAATTTAAAACTTCAGTCGAGCGCGGCTTCGAAAATTTGCCCAATATGGCAACTCCGTCTATGCTTAATCAAGAAAGAAAATCTGTTTACAACTTGATTATAAAAGAAATCTAATCCTCCACTTCATATCAACTTGTTAATGAAATATTGATTATCTAACAACAGAATTCTCAGATTGGGTTATAAGTAGCGAACTGAGCCAAATTTGAAGCCCAGAGATAATCAATTTTGAATAGACTTTCTTTTATTTTTACTGGCTTGACTAAAAAGTTCGTTCGTAGACAATTTACTTAATAAACCGAACGACCAAAATTCGTCAAGACTATTTTTTTTTAAATTCCCAAATGAAATGCAAACTTTATTAGAGCTAGGCTTTCAGAAGTAACACGATTTGGGAAGCCTGGGGCCTTGAACCATACCAAAACTTAATAAAGAATTATTATATATAATGATAGGTGTAAGATCCATCACTGAAGATGCTGGAAAAATGGGCAGTTGTTTGTGTCATTTCAGAAAGAACCTGACTCCACCTTCTTGGCAAGAGTCAGATCAGAACAGAATTAGAGTAATGTTGACATATCTGGTTTGATTTTTCTCATTTCTCGCTGTCCAGTCTCAATATAGCTCAAAATCGATAACGCGAGGGAATTTACCACATCTTTCCCATAGAAATTTTTCTCACCGGAGAATCCTTCAAATCTACAAATCAACCATTCGCCCTTGCATGGAGTATTGCTGCCATATATGGTCTGGAGCCCCTCCTGTTTTATCAAGGTTCTTGATAAGATCCAGGGACGGATATGCAACGTAATTGGCCCTGGTCTGGCATCTTGTCTGCAGGCACTCTCTCACAGACGTGCCGTCGCCTCCCTGTGTCTTTTTTACAAATACTTTCATGGTAACTGCTCCGATGAGCTGCTTTCGCTGATTCCCAGACTTCATGAATTTAAGCGTTCTACTAGGCTGGTATCTCGTTCACACCCTTTCAGTGTCGAAACTGTTAAATGTAGCCGTCTCTTCTACTCCTATAACTTCATGCCTCGCACTTCTCGCCTGTGGAACTCTCTCACCTTTTCCTGTTTCCCTGATAGTTATAATCTCCAACTATTCAAATGTAATGTCAATCGACGTCTCCAGACGCTTTGATCTATCCCCTATCCTTCTCTTCATCGTTTCCTCTGTCACTCCTATTTGATCTCGCTCCAACTCTCTGTAATCGATTGCGTGATAGTGGCTTCCCGCCTTGCTTTGGGTAAAACGCTTAAAAAAAAAAAAGAAACGTTGCAAGCCTCTTTGCTAAGATATCACTATTTCCATCGTAAATGAGCTGACTAGCTATATTTATTGGCTCCACCAATTCAGACCTTCACCACCATGCCACATGCAATGGGATGAATCATCTACATACCTTTTTTATATTAGTAAAAAGCAAACCCGCTCCTGTAAGTAGTTAATTCATCATCCTTTCCTCTACTTTTACAAGAGATAGCTCAGACCGAAAATAAAGTACTGTTGTCCTATTTGAGCAGGAGTTGCCCAGTCCTCACTTTCCAGTGTCGATAGAGTTCAAAAGCGTCTCCGCGTCCTTGTGGGTGATGTACTATTAAACAAAAGCGGTTGTGGCAAGTCTCTCGCTGCTCTGTCGCTACAAACATGGAACGTGCTCGGACGAACTACATGCTTTGGTTCCGCCAGATCTAACCTTTACGGCTATGACCCGCCATGCCACATCTATTGAAGCAAACCACGCATATTACCTCCGTATTCCATCGTTGAGAAGTAAGTTCCACTCGAACAGCTTCTTCCTGCGAACCACTGCTCTGTGGAACAGACTCCCAAGAGGATGTTTCCCAGATCACTACAATCTTAACCTGTTCAAGTTTAGGGTTAACAGTTATCTTCACCTCCTATCCGTCTAAACTGTCACTTAATGTAACCCTCTACCTCGAGTGGCCCCCGGGCCTTGTGCCGGGTGAACCATACTGGAAAAGAAGAGTTCAAGTCGGACAGTTTCATCCGAAGAACCACAACCTTAAGGGACAGACTCCCGACGGGATGCTTTCTCGATCACTACAATCTTCAAGTCATGGATCACATGGCTGACATTCCTAGATATCCCCATAGTCTGCACTTCTTACCCCCACCTTTCTCTTATGCCCATACAGAAAATTCATTAAGTAAAACTCTAACTTGAATATCTTCTGGGCCTTGTATTGGGTGAACAATTATTTTAAAATGTCTGTGGCGTATTCTTTCTCAAATTGAAGGGTGGGGTCTGTATCATTCAGAAGTAAATAAGATCTCTCTTCCACCCCTGTTGAGTATGGAACAGTCGATTTGGAGATATAATCAGTTGATTTTTTTTTCCACATTTATTATAAAGTGGAATATAGTTTTGTATTCATATTGTAAATACTCAGTGGGGCTAGTTTTTAGAATTGTTGTTTTATTCCCCCACCCACCCCCAGACAATGGATTGTAAATATGGGGACTAGTTAGTATTTTCATAGAGACAGTGAGGTATTATGGTGGATGTAGTAAGAAAGGTGCGTATGAATGTGTTGTTTTGGTGTAAGGAATATTGTTCGTTCGATTGGGCCAGTGTTTGTGACTAGCTAAATTATAGTTAAGACAGAAGAAGACCGTCTTTTCTCCAATCCCGCCTTACGGCCTTGTGCCACATTTCTGTATAAAACAGAATAAATATCACTTATAAAGTGAAATATAGTTTTGTATTCATATTGTAAATACTATAGTTTTGTATTCATATTGTAAATACTTATTGGGGCTAGTTTTTAGAATTGTTGTTTTATTCCCCCCCAGACAATAAATTGTAAATATGGGAACTAGTTAGTATTTTCATAGAGACAAAGAGGTATTATGGTGGGTGTAGTAAGAAAGGTACGTATGAATGTGTTGTTTTGGTGTAAGGAATATTGTTCGTACGATTGGGTCAGTGTTTGCGGCTAGCTAAATTATAATTAAGTCAGAAGAAGACTGTCCTTTCCCCAATCCCCCCTTACGGCCTTGTGCCACATTTCTGTATTGTACAGAATAAATATAGCTTATAAAGTGGAATAAAGCTTATCTTTAAGTTTATTCGGGCTTTCTGTTTTCACTACAGTGACAAAAAATATAAGAATTCTTTACGTCGTAGTTAGTAAACTGAATTCTGTGTATATCACTCGATAGTTCATCCAGATTTTGTCGAAACGAAAGCTTCTGGACTAAAGATGGTCGTCCAGTTGTGTTGCCATAATTCGACGCTGCCAGTTTCTGTAGAATTACCAAGAACTATTTCGGAGAAACCGAATCGTTTTTTGTTTTTTTGTTTTTTTTTTTGTTTTTTTTTGAATCGGTATTACACATGCATTCGGGTTTCGTGGAGGGGTAATACACTGTTTATTGTCTGCTATAATCAATACGATTATCATAAACGGACCCGTTCAGAATCTCATTTCATTCGGGCACTTGCCATTCATATTTTCATCTGCTCAACAGCCTCACATTCGCAAAGCGATTCACGACAATTTATTCAACGAGCAAGACATTTTACGAACAACAATTCGTTCGATAATTAACTGGCGCTATGTTTTACGATTGGAGCCACGTTCCACCATCCCCCCTCTCTCTCTCTCTATATATATATATATATATATATATATATATATATATATATATATGGGGTGTATTTATTCACCCATCTCATTTGTTTTTATTCTTTTCGGTAGATGTTTTACTGTTTTTAGCGGACAACAATTTGCACGATAATTAACTGGTGTTATGTGTAAACATTAAAGCGTCCTCCCACAACCCTCCTTCCTAGCTTTCACTCTCTCTCTCTCTCTCTCTCTCTCTCTCTCTCTCTATCTATCTATCTATCTGTCTATCTATCTATCTCTTTCTCTCTCTCTCTCTCTCTCTCTCTCTCTCTATCTATCTATCTATCTATCTCCTTCTCTCTCTTTCTCTCTCTCTCCTTCTCCCTTTGGGTGTATATGTGTTTTATTCCCTCACTTTATCTTATTGTTTCTCATTTTTTTATAAACCCCTCTCTCTTATTTTATTTTATTTTTGCTCCTTCTCTGTTTAATTGCTTTTCGGGGGGAGCATTTTTTCCCTATTTTCTTTCATCAACTATTTTATTTGTAAATTACTAGACTTACTTACATCTGGCACATGGCAACATGTTTGAGACACCATGCGTGGATAAAATCGCCGTTGGGGATTACTCGGTAGCTGCTGCCGCCACAGCAAACATTCTATTAGATTTTCGGGGTTTTATCGATTTATTGATACGTTGACCAATAAACATGAGGCAAAAGAAACAAATACAGCTGTTAGGGGAACGTATTTGCACATTTCTAACTTAGTTCCCATAAATCACAGCCTAACATGCACATAGATAGATAGATAGATAGATAGATAGATAGATAGATAGATAGATAGATAGATAGATAGATATGAGAAACAAGATAGATAGATAGATAGATAGATAGATAGATAGATAGATAGATAGATAGATAGATATGAGAAACAAAATAGATAGATAGATAGATAGATAAGAGAAACAAAATAGATAGATATTAGAAATTAAGAATGATAGATAGATTTTAGAAACTAAGAATGATTGATATGCGAAACTTAGATAGATATGAGAGACTAAAATTGATAGATAGATAGATAGATAGATAGATAGATAGATAGATAGATATGAAAAAACTAAGATACATAGATCGATATTCACAAATAGGATAGATATATATTAAAAGCTAAGATATAAAAAACTAGAAGAGAAAACTAGATAGATATAAAAAAAATAATAAAGTTAAATATGAAAAACTAAGATAGATGTAAAAAAAACTAAGATAATTATAAAAAACTAAAATAGCTAGATATAAAAAATTAAATAGATTTAAAAACAACTAAGCTAGATAAATCGATAGATATAAAAAATTTAAGATAGATATAAAAAAAAACTTTGATCGATATAAAAAATAAGATAGATATACAAAAATACGATAGATATAAAAACATCTTTCTCTATATTACCCTCTTCCTTTTTCTGTTTTCCTTCTTTTCTCATTCCCTCTACCACTTGTTTGCTTCCCCTTCTCTTTCTCTCTCTCTCTCTCTCTCTCTCTCATTATCATAAATGTCTCCCTATTGTTCTCTTTCCTTCCTCTTCTTGATTGCAATCTGACTGATTCCTTTGTAATCAAATCAATCTCTAAGTGAATGAACGAACTTGTAGAGTGTTCTGCTAAAGAATCGGACACTGTAATTACTCGTGCCATAATGCAGACGTCAGTTCGACAACGGGCAGTAATTTGTGTTTCTTCTGGGAAGTTTCCGCTTTCCCACTCGGGGCAAAAACTGACTTCTTCTTCTTCTTCCGAACGAACGAACGAACGAAACGTGATATATAATCTCAAGATCAATAAATTCTTTCGATAAATGATCTACCCTAGCAAACTTCAATGATTTTGGGTCGATAAAGGGCAGAGCCAATGGTCTATCTAAAGTAGGTCTCTTTTTTTATGTGTTCTCATTTAAAACCTTTGAAGATAGATAGATAGATAGATAGATAGATAGATAGATAGATAGATAGATAGATAGAATGAATAGACACACACACACATATAGATAGATAGATAGATAGATATGAACAGAATTAGATAAATAAATAAGATATGAAAATAGATAGAGAGATATGAATACGCTTAGATATGAATAGACATAGATAGATACATAGATAGATATGAATAGACACACATATATATATATATATATATATATATATAGATAGATAGATAGATAGATAGATAGATAGATAGATAGATATGAATAGACATATAGATAGATAGATAGATAGATAGATATGAATAGACATATAGATAGATAGATAGATAGATAGATATGAATAGACATATATATATATAGATAGATAGATAGATATGAATAGACATATACATATATATATATATATATAGAGAGAGAGAGAGATAGATAGATAGATAGATAGATAGATAGATAGATATGAACAGATTGAAATTGATATGTACAGACTGAGATATATAGATAGATAGATACGAACAGATTGAGATAGATACATAGATACATAATTGGTATGAACAGATTTAGATAGATATGAAAATAGATAGATAGATAGATAGATAGATAGATAGATAGATAGATAGATAGATAGATATGGGCAGATTGCGATAGATCAGATACATATGACCAGATTGAAAAAGATCCGATGGATATTAACAGATAGATAGATATATAGATAGTAATCTTCGTCACCGAGGTAGAGTTGGTACAGTTGATATGACGCTTGTGTCGTATCGTAACAGTCCGGGTTCGATTCTCTGTAGTGGATGCGCACTGCTGATGAGTCCCAGCTGATGAGTCCCAAAAAGAGGACGAAACGGCCGTCCATTGCTTTCTGCATTCTGTTGAGGATTCTTCTAGACTCGATGAATTACTTAATTATCTCAGATCCTCCTAATAATTCCTATCATATATAGATATGTATGAACAGATTGAAATAGACATATGCAAACCGATAGATAGACATTGATAGACTTAAATATGAATAGACTTTGATATGAATACACAGCGATAGATACGTATAGACATAGATATGAAAAGATTAATATAGATAGATATGAACAGAGTGAGATGACTGAGATAGAGAGATAGACAGATATGAACAGCTTGAGATATATACATATATTCATATGAACAGATTTAGATAGATCAGACAGATATGAGCAAATTGAGATAGATAGATAGATAGATAGATACGAACAGATTGAGATAGATACATAGATTGATATGAACAGATTTAGATAGATATGAACAGAGTGAGATAGATAGATAGATAGATAGATAGATAGATAGATAGATAGATAGATATGAACAGAATTAGATAGCCAGATATATATAAATAGATTTAGATATAAACAGAATTCGATATGAACAGAATTTTACTGGTAGATAGATAGATAGATAGATAGTTAGATAGATAGATAGATAGATAGATAGATAGATAGATAGATAGGAACAGAATTAGATAGATAGATAGATAGATAGATAGATAGATAGATAGATAAACAGAATTCGATATGAACAGAATTTTACTGGTAGATAGATAGATAGATAGATAGATAGATAGATTTACATATAAACAGAATTCGATATGAACAGAATTTTACTGGTAGATAGATAGATAGATAGATAGATAGATAGATAGATAGATAAACAGAATTCGATATGAACAGAATTTTACTGATAGATAGATAGATAGATAGATAGGAACAGAATTAGATAGATAGATAGATCGATAGATAGATAGATAGATAGATAGATAGATAGATAGATAGGAACAGAATTAGATAGATAGATAGATAGATAGATAGATAGATAGATAGATAGATTTACATATAAACAGAATTCGATATGAACAGAATTTTACTGATAGATAGATAGATAGATAGATAGATAGATAGATAGATAGATAGATAGATTATTTATTAATTAATTTAAAGCCTATTGTTTCTCTGGTTATATATTGATGTATTGATCCCTTTTTGACAAGTATTCTGCTATCCTTAAATTTTAGTCATTTTTACGTATTTATAAGAAAAACAAAACAAAAGTTTTTATTTTCAGAAATCGAATGAAATAACCCATATTAATATGTCTTTAACTTTCAAATATTCAAACATGCTGAATTATATTTCATTTTATTTTCAGCAACCTTTGATGAATATGACTTCTTTTCTCCTATTTTTCCCATTCCAAGCAATAGACTAGAAGATTACTGTGTTCTTTGCATACGTCTCTACCCACTTATTATAGACTACCCTTACGTAACGGTCATGTGCTTGTAATCCACACATATAGCTTGATTAAAACCAGAAATTCGCTGTAGTTACTTGACAATTGAATACGTAAAGCCACTTGCTTAACCAGGAAAATTTAACTAGCAGCTTGCTAATATTTAGGAAAAACATACTGTAGGATTTTAAAACAATTAGCGGTACAAATGGGGAATTAATCTTACTTATTATAAAACGCAGATTGTGTGTGTGTGTGTGTGTGTATGTGTGTGTGTGTGTGTCTGTACGTTTATATATTGGATCAGATTTCCTACATTTTTCAACCGATTTCAACAAAACTTCACAGGACTACATAAAATTACCTTGCGGTGGTTCTGACAGTGCCAAAAATTGGAAAAACACAATTGTTTTTGCATGAAATCAATTTGAAAAACGATAAAACACGATTCTGTCACCAGAATGAAAGGGGGACAACTCATATCTAGTTATACTTATTATAAAACCCAGGTTGTTTGTGTGTGTGTGTTCATTTATATATGGGATCGGATTTCCTACATTTTTCAACCGACTTCAACAAAACTTCACTTTTTTTGGCAGGTAGTGTTTCTTATTGTCTTGCACACTTTTTTTCTTTATTTTTACATTCAGAATGCTTTAAAAATTCCATTTACAAGACAAATGTTTGTAATAAAATTCTATTCAATCGGTAAACTCATAACGATTAAAAACAATGTTTTTGTTTGAGTTTGACCAATTTGTAAAAATAAAATAAAATAAAATAAAACTAATTAAGACATGCGTGTCTGTCAACCGTAAAACAATAATCTTTGTCAATTTTATTTTTCAGTCTTTATGATGGTCGATACTTGATCTATCTCTTACTGTTACATCCCCGGGCAACGCCGGGCTCTACTGCTAGTTAATTATATTACTGGTACCTCCCCGAGAGCGTGCTGGATATGACGATAAATAACATCCAGTCCTCAGATCGGGAGGTTTTGAGGAACGTGGAACCACCTCTTAATTTCTCTTAATTTCTCAGATCCATCCTGACCCGGGATGGTATCACCTGTTAGAGTCTCAGCTATAAGCAAATAGTGTACTTCAAAATTGGTGTCAAAACACTATGAAAGTGCAGAAGTACATTTTTATAGTAAAAATTACCAGCAACACATTTTCATACTAAAGAATTTACCAATAATACGTTTGTGTGAAAAAATATATTACCATCAATGCGTTTTTGGAAAACAATATTATCAATAATACATTTTTTAAGGAAAAAAACATATTACAAGCAATATATATTTTTTTTAAATATTACCACCAATAAATTTTTGTAAGGAAAAAATATTAACAGCAATACATTTTTGTATGGAAAAACATATTACAAGCAATATATTTTTTAAATATTACCAGCAATACATTTTTGTAAGCAAAAAATACATTTTTGTAAGGCGAAAACATATTACAGGCAATATATTTTTTTTTTAAATATTACCAGCAATACATTTTTGTAAGGAAAAAAATATTACCCGCAATACATTTTTTTTAAGGAAAAAATATTACCAGAAATACATTTTTTTAAGGAAAAAACTTATTACAAGCAATATATTTTTTTTAAATATTACCAGAAATGCATTTTTGTAAGGAAAAAATATTAGAAGCAATATATTTTTTAAAAAAATATTACCAGGAATACATTTTTGTAAGGAAAAAAACATATTTCAAGCAATGTATTTAAAAAAAAAATATTACCAGGAATACATTTTTGTAAGGAAAAAACATATTTCAAGCAATGTATTTAAAAAAAAAAAAACGGAAAAAAAGAAAAAAATATATAACTAATTATACATTTCTATTAAAACAATTTCTAGTACCAGCAATACATTGGTGTGAAAGGAAAATTGCCAGCAATACATTTCTGAAAAAGAAATTACTAATGCTCTGAAGAAAAAGAAATTTCGGCATTAAATGATCCATACGGAATCGATATACCGTTAAACAAACAAAACAAACCTAGCCTAGTAATGAATAAAGGAAAAAATTGAGAAATTAAGCAAAAATAAAATTTGTTTGAATAAATAAAATCCAAGTATCGAATCCACCGCCATTAGTTTGTACATCTGCCATTAGATGTCCTTGATTCAGTTTTATATTTTGTAATATATGTACAAGAATTCTGACAGAATGTCGTAAAAAAACGTCAGAAGAAAGGACTAAGTATCAATAGAAAGAAGGCAGCAAAAGGAATATCTCAACACGCAAATTACAAGATCGGGATACCAGAATGAAAAAAGTACAATAATATAGGATCTAATCAATAGCTGCATTTACTGCAAGGAAAGATAGGTCACAGTGCCGTGCCAGAAGGTTTTTCTCGCCTGAGTCTATCCTTCAAATCTGCCATTCATCCTTGCATTGAATACTGTTGCTATATATAAGGTCTGGTGACCCCGATGTTCATCTCGAGGCTCTAGACAAAATCCACAGACGGATATGCGATGTGATGGGTCCTGATCTGTCACAGAGTCTACAGTCACTTTCTCACAGGCATGCCGAGGCTTCCCTCTGTCTTTTCTCCAGATATGTTCATGGCAACTGCTCTGACGAGCTACTTTCATTGGCACGCCATCTAAGCGTGCTACAAGGTTGGCAGCTCGGTCCCACCCTTTTAATGTCGATACAGTTAAATATAACCGCCTCTTCTACTCTAACAGCTCCTTCTCTCGAACTTATTCCCCAGATTTCGTCCCTTGCACCTTTTTCCTCTTCAAAAATCAAACTCCACTTAAAAGGAACAAGATTTCGAGACGTCGAGGAAATGCAAGTGAATTCGACGAGGCAGCTGTACGTTATCTCAAAAAGAAAGAGTTTCTGGAATGCTCCCATCATTAGAAACGACGCCGTATAAAGTGTGTGCGTGATTCCAGAAGGCGGCTACTTCGACAAAGATTAAATGCCGAATTGATACGTGTTGTAGTTTTCCTTTTATAGTAATAGTCCCGATACTTTTTGATCAGGCCTCGCATAAATACATTCTTGTAAAATCAATAACCCAAATGAGGAGCAAAATATCAATTTCTATAAGAAAAGCAATGTCTGAAAAAAGAAGGCTATATTTTTTTTTAGTATGTTTTGAAGTTCCAACATAATACGCTACAAACAGGCAAGCATTACCATAACGAGTACGCTTTCTCGTGAGAAAAATGACTTCACGGTTCGATAAGCGTTTTTTTATTTATTTATTTATTTAACCGTGAATGCATTGATTCTTAAATTCTGCCAAATTCTAAGGCTATAGGTTGCTGTGTAATGCTTTGTGTCATCTTTTCTTATTGTATGTCTTGAAAGGATATGGTATTCACATACTTGTAAAATGCTGAAAAGGAAAGCTTGATTTAACTATCTATCGCGAAGCCTTCAAAAGTAATCAGTTGGGAAGTATGACTCACTCAAAGAAACTGGTGGTTCCACCAAAATCTGCTGATCTCTTTCTTCGATGCACGATTGGATCCAATCTGTTTACCAGACAAAGGAATGCGGTCAATGCTTTTATCATCACTCTTTCTTTCATTCTTTCTTTCTTTCTTTTTTTCTTTCTTTGTTGCTTTCTTTTTTCTTTCTTTCTTTCTTTCTTTTTTTCTTTCTTTCTTTCTTCCTTTCCTTCTTTCTTTCTTTCTTTCTTTCTTTCTTTCATTCTTCTTTCTTTTTCGCCCAGTTCTTTTAGATTTTTCTTTACGAATTCTTTCTTCCCCGCTTTTCTTTCCGTCTTTCTTTCTTTCTTTCTTTCTTTCTTTCTTTCTTTCTTTCTTTCTTTATCCCCCACTTTTTTAGATTTTTCCTTGCGATTTCTTTCTTCCCCGCTTTTCTTTCCTTCTTTCTTTCTTTCTTTCTTTCTTTCCTTCTTTCTTTCTTTCTTTCTTTCTTTCTTCCTTCCTTTATCCCCCACTTTTTTAGATTTTTCCTTGCGATTTCTTTTTCCCCCTTTTCTTTCCGTCTTTCTTTCTTTCTTTCTTTCTTTCTTTCTTTCTTTCTTTCCTTCTTTCCTTCTTTCTTTCTTTCTTTCTTTCTTTCTTCCTTTATCCCCCACTTTTTTATATTTTTCCTTGCGATTTCTTTCTTCCCCGCTTTTCTTTCCTTCTTTCTTTCTTTCTTTCTTTCTTTTATTCTTTCTTTCTTTCTTTCTTTCTTTCTTCCTTCCTTTATCCCCCACTTTTTTAGATTTTTCCTTGCGATTTCTTTCTTCCCCGCTTTTCTTTCCTTCTTTCTTTCTTTCTTTCTTTCTTTCCTTCTTTCTTTCTTTCTTTCTTTCTTTCTTTCTTTCTTTCTTCCTTCCTTTATCCCCCCGCTTTTTTAGATTTGTCTTTGCGATTTCTTTCTTCCCCGCTTTTCTTTCTTTCTTTCTTTCTTTCTTTCTTTCTTTCTTTCTTTCTTTCTCCCCCCTTTTTTTTTTTTTAGATTTTTCCTTGCGATTTCTTTCTTCCCCGCTTTTCTTTCCTTCTTTCTTTCTTTCTTTCTTTCTTTCTTTCTTTCTTTCCTTCTTTCTTTCTTTCTTTCTTTTTTTTTCTTCCTTCCTTTATCCCCCACTTTTTTAGATTTTTCCTTGCGATTTCTTTCTTCCCCGCTTTTCTTTCCGTCTTTCTTTCTTTCTTTCTTTCTTTCCTTCTTTTCTTCTTTCTTTCTTTCTTTCTTTCTTTCTTTCTTTCTTTCTTTCTTTCTTCCTTCCTTTATCCCCCGCTTTTTTAGATTTGTCTTTGCGATTTCTTTCTTCCTTGCTTTTCTTTCTTTCTTTCTTTCTTTCTTTCTTTCTTTCTTTCTTTCTTTCTCCACCCCCCCACTTCTTTTACATTTTTCTTTGTTATTTTTTTCTTTCTCCTCTTCTTTCTTTCTTTGCCCCTTCCTTCCATTGTCTCTTTATTTTTTTTTTCTATCTTTTTTCTTCGGTCCTTCTCATTCAATGCTCTTCTCCTTTAAATAATCTTTCTTCTCTCACATTCTTAAACGTTTTTCTTTCACTGTTTTTTTTTTTTTTCTTCTGTTTTTCTTTCTTTCTTCTTTCATTTTCTTCCGGTTTCTTTATTTCTTCAACCATTTCTTTTTCTTTCTTCTCCATCTTATATAATCATTTTTTTTCTTTTCTTTTCTTTCCCTACGTTGTCTTCTTTTTATCTCCATTTTTCATTTTTCTCTCTTTTTCGTTTTTCTCCGTCTTTCCTTTTCTTATTCATGTATTATCCATTTTCTTTTTCTCTTTTCTCCTTTTTTTTTCTTTCTACTTTTCTTTCTTTTAATCTTCAGCTTTGCTTTTCATTTCATATTCTTTCTTTTCTTGTTCTTTTACTTTACTTTTCCTTTTCGCGCCTCGTTTTTGTTACACCTGTTCTTTCTTTCTTTCTTTCTTTCTTTCTTTCTTTCTTTCTTTCTTAATCCTCTTCTATTTTCAACTATTTGCCTTTTTATTTCTTTTTACCTCCTCCTCTTTACTCCCTTCCCACTCTTTATTCCCCCCTCCGCCACTATTTTTCTCTTTCCTTTCTTCTCTTCGTCTCTTTTTCTCTTTCAAATTCTTATCTATTTACTTTACCCCTTTCTTTACATTATCTCCTCCTTTACGAGTACAGAAAAGTAAATATCTGTATAGTGTAGATGACGAAAAGCGTGACTCAGAAATCCGAATGTACACCTAAATAGCGAAAGACGATTCCTAAAAATTAAACAAAGTCTTAAGAGGTAGGAAATGTACGTTCGAAACAAAGAAAAGAGTGCATCTAATTTACAATATGGCAGGGAATACCCTATAATTTTCCCACGGATGAAAAAGAGCGAAGCGTCAAAGGTGAGGTTCTTGAGAAGTATACTGAGAATACCATGGAATGAGCATGTGAGAAATTAAGATGTTTTAAGGAAAAAAGAAAATGTTACAGTGATGTAGCACTTCACCAAACATCACCAGCACTCTTTTTTTTCATGTCTTGTCCCTTCAAGATAAATACGATTATGACTCTCCACAGCTTCCTTTCCTTTATTCACTATCCGACATCGTTGACAAAACTAACCTGACCATAGGCCTCGGGAAGGACCTCTAATCTGTGGTTGACTGGGACAGGAAATGGCTTGTAAACTTTAACGCTTCTTAAACGAAACTACTCTCAGTTACGCACCGTAGAGAAAACCTCCCTGTCTCCCATCAGACTTGTACTATTATTTCGTGTAATATACCTTCGTTATTTCTAGTCTGGTGTTCGTGTTGTTCTTCCTTGGTCCTAACCCGGACCATAACACAAGGCTAGATATCCCAGTCTATCTGCTATCGACTCCATATCTATGGACAGGGAAAAGTGAAGGATCCATGTCTTTCGGGGTCGCATTAGACAAATCAATAGACCAGATATAATTATAAAAGACTTTAAAAAAAAACATATTAGTCCCAGCTCATAGATATGGCCATTTCATCTGATGAAAAAATATTTTCGGAAAATAATTTGACTAACCTTCAAAATATACGGACTTCTAAATAGAAATAACAAGTAATACACAACCAAGGTTCCAGTAATAAGTGCAGCATTCGGAATTGTTAAAAAGAATAACGGTACATAGATTAAGAAAATCCAAGGTAATCCATGAATGTCTGCGATAAAGATGGCACTCATGAGAACCGTTCACACATTCAAAAAAATTTTTCTAAATCTAATATGCTAAATATCTATCTATAAAAGGCAGGATGTGTGTGTGTGTGTGTGTGTGTGTGTGTGTGTGTGTGTGTGTGTGTGTGTGTGTGTGTGTGTGTGTGTGTGTGAAACGAATGCACGGCCGCAATTTTCGACGGATTTGCACGAAAATTTACATGTACATGCTCCAAGTTAGTAGAAAAGCCAAGATCGACTTTGCATTTCCCAACTCCTATCGATAGTGGAAATAATCAATTTATTCATACTTCTACGGCAGTTTTCATGTAGTTTGGGGCCATTTTCTACTGGCCAGAGTAAGAGCCAATAGCTGGCTGCCACGAATAGGCAGGAAGATTCTATTGGCCAGCGTGAGAGCCAACAGCTGACTGACACGAATGTTAACTAGCATACTAGCATGCAAAAAAAAATCGATAGCTGCATTCGTCACAAGTGCGAAAAATTTAAATCTGCATGGCACTTTACTCCGATTGGCTCATTCGCTTGCTTAAACTCAATGTTGATTCTGATTCTGCAGAACTGGGTTGGGTGTGAACAAGTATTTGTTGTTAACATTCTTTTTTCATTCGGTTTTCCAGTTACGAGTCCTTTTTTAAAGCTGATCGTTTTGTGTTCATTTTGTTTAGTTCTGTTTTCGTAACAGATTTAATGTTTAGTATAGAGCTTAGAAAAAATTTGCAGTGTGAGATAGGCAAGAAGTAAGGCATGTAGCAACATCAGCACGGCAAAGGGCACTCCTTTAAAGGCAAGAAAGGGCAAAAATATTTTAAGTCATGTGATAGCGATTGCTGTATGAGTCGTACGATTTTTGAATCAAGCACGGGCAACGCCGGGCCATGCTGCTCGTGACTTTCTAAAAAAATCTTCCTTTCTCAGGTAAAAGATTTGACAAAAGATTTTATCAAACAGCCAATCAGGAAAACTAGAAATAATAATAATAATAATAATAATAATTCAAAGATATTGAGAAACTACAGAAGACCAGATGATGTTCTGTGCCAAAGAACATGAAAGTAGAAAGCGACTTTATTCGATAATAAAGGAAGTCAACGAGTTCAAAATGGAGTTTCAAGTGGATGCAGAAATACAAGTAAAGCATAAAACACCGACTGAAGCTGCAAAATACTTAAAAACGAAAGCAAAGACAAAAGCAACCGACCAGATACAGAAACGATGGCAAGATAAACCGCTTCACGGTCAATACTCTGCCCTTACCAAACAAGCTGATGTTAACAAACCCTGTACCCATCAGTGGATACGTAGTTCAGTGTTAAAAGCTAAAAACCGAAGGTTATATTCTTATCACACAGGACCAATGATTGCTAACTAGAAATTACCAAGCACACATACTGAAAAATTGTGTTAGTCCAAAATGCAGATTCTGTGATAAATATCCAGAAACAATTGACCATCTTGTATCAGGCTGCGCGGTATTGGCACCCACTGAATTGGCCAATACATGCACTGAAAAATCTGCAACAATTACGGAAAGGAAACTGCATGAAATTGGTATGAACACCACCTAGACCCGGTTAACTAGACAGGACCGATAACCATTTTATGGGACTTTACAATACACACAGAAAGAACAAGGCGAATCGCCCTGATGTCGTGATTAGAGACTGCAATGACAAAATGTGCCTCCTTATTGACATGGCAGTCCCTGCAGACTGCAGTGTATCTTTGAAGATCTTCAAGAAAGAAAAACTATCAAAATACAAGGACCTTGAAATCGAAATCTCAAAAATGTGGCGCCTGGGGACATTAACAATTCCAGTTGTAATTGGAGCCCTCGGATTGATAAGAAAAGATTCCAATAGACTCATTGAAGGAACCCCTGGTAGCCCATGACTTAAAGAAATTGTTGAGGGGTTCTCCCCTTTTTACACAAATGGACTCACCCAGTATATGCATATACTACGGCTACGTGAAGACCCGAGAGAGCAAGACCTCCGAGTCTAGCTGTCGTGATACAGTCTTTGACTGTAAGCGACGACTGTCAAACTCTCACCATTAGCAGAGAGGAACCCGGACGAAGCTTTGCCGAAGAGCAAGGTTTCGTCAGGGGAGGTAGACAGGCCCTGAACCCGTCTAGGCGGGTTGAAAGGCTATATTTTTGGCCGACCCTACGGGCTCGGAGATACCCACATTAAACCGGCCTTGTGCCATATTCAATCCTCGTGGGTGGGTCGATAAATACCGAGCAAGACCTCCGAGTCTAGCTGTCGTGATACAGTCTTTGACTGTAAGCGACGTCTGTCGAACTCTCTGCATTAGCAGAGGAACCCAGACGAAGCTTTGCCGAAGGCAAGGTTTCGTCCGGGAGGTAGACAGGGCCTGAACCCGTCAAGGCGGTTTCAAAAGGCTATATTTTTGGCCGAGCCTATGGGCTTGAGATACCCACATTAAACCGGCCTTGTGCCATATTCAATCCTCGTGGGTGGTTCGATAAATACCGAGCAAGACCGAAGAGTCGAGTGGAGTCCAGAGTGACAGAGTGAAAGGTTGTAGGTAACCGGAAGTGTGAGGGTGAGGTAACAGCGTTGTAGGAGTCACAGTCGGCAAGCACGTAGACTCAGTAAGAAGTCATACAGCGATACTTCAATACCAAAGACTGTATATATATTTGATACTAACCCGTATTCCTGGAACTACTAACCTGCTTTACCAGTTTGTATTATTACGTTAATACATTATTTTTTATATATTTATTCCTGCCAAAACAAAACAAAAATATAAAAAAAATTGTACTCACGAGCTCGGTGCACACCTTACAAAAGGGTTTTGTCTATGTAAAATATGTGCGATTTTTTTTCAGAACTGCTCAGTCATGACGTCATTTCTGACCTTAGGTCTCTGGTCGGGACCCGGAAATAAATGTGTATACACCAGAAATCAAACGAAATAAAACAACAACAATAATAATAATAATAATAATAACCTCAGGTATAGATTGTAACCAGAACATTAGGAAGAGTGTCAGAAAATTTTACCTATTGTTTGGAGACAATAGATTTACCAGTCGGGTTCTTATGTCTTGTAGAAGGCATGTTTACTTGGCACAACACGAACAATCAGAAAAGTACTGGAAACCTAAGGCTACGTGATGTACTTTGATATCCAATAAGCGCAAAATCAGATAATAACGTCCAATAAGCTATGGGAATAATAATAATAATAATAATAATAATAATAATAATAATCAACTAAAATAAATAGAAATAATAATAATTGGCGAACTTGGTACGGTGACTTACAAAATAGAAACATGAATAAAGAAAATTGGCCCTGATTGCTCAGTGGAACTGTTGCAGAAAGTAAGTCTCTTGGGAATGGCAAGAACATTCCAGGAAGTGAATCAGAAGAAAATTGCATGATACCTAAGGCTGCTGCTTGTGACCCGCTGTCCATGCAATAATAACTAGATATTAAGATCGTACCTCTATCTATAAAAGGCAGGGTGTGTGTGTGTGTGTCTGTGTGTGTGTCTGTGTGTGTGTCTGTGTAACGAATGCACGGCTGCAATTTTCGACGGATTTGAACCAAAATTTACATGCACATGCTCCAAGTTAGCGGGAAGGCCAACACCTACTTTGCATTTCCCAACTCCTATCGATAATGGAAATAATCGATTTTTTTCATACTTCTACGGCAGTTTTCATGTAGTTTGGGGCCTTTTTCTACTGGCCAGAGTGAGAGCCTATAGCTGGCTGCCGCGAATAGGCAGGAAGATTCTATTGGCCAGCGTAAGAGCCAACAGCTCACTGACACGAATGTTAACTAGCATGTGAGCATGCAAAAAAAAATCGATAGCTGCATTCGTCACAAGTGGGAAAAATTTAAATCTGCATGGCACTTTACTCCAATTGGCTCATTCGCTTGCTTAAACTCAATGTTGATTCTGATTCCGCAGAACTGGGTTGGGTGTGAAAAAGTAATTGTTATTAACATTCTTTTTTCAATTGGTTTTTCCAGTTACGAGTCCTTTTTTAAAGCTGATCGTTTTGTGTTCATTTTGTTTAGTCCTTTTTCCGTAACAGATTTAATGTTTAGTATAGAGCTTAGAAAAAATTTGCAGTGTGAGATAGGCAAGAAGTAAGGCATGTAGCAACATCAGCACGGCAAAGGGCACTTCTTTAAAGGCAAGAAAGAGCAAAAATATTTTAAGTCATGTGATAGCGATTGCTGTATGAGTCGTACGATTTTTGAATCAAGCACGGGCAATGCCGAGCCATGCTGCTAGTCTTAGAAAATAATAATAATAATAATAAACTTTGTTCATGGAATACTCTCCTGGGCCTAATGTTTTCAGTGGTCCAATAACTAGGATGGATAGAAATTTCCTGCGAATTTTTAATTTGGTGAAGAGGTCACAATAACTCGATACTGCTAACGCTATCTGTTTTAGCACATAAGTTGAGAAGTTGAGTTGCCGTAAAAAGAAAAAAACATGAAAGAAAAAATAAAGGTTGCGTGGAACGCAAGAATGGATATCCTTGTTTAAAAAATAAATCAAATTAAATGGAAGTTTTCCCTTGTCTTCAAACCTATTAAGAATAGAATCCTGAGTAACGAGCTGTAAAAAAAAAAAAACTTTAGATACGTCATAAAAGAAATGATATCGTGCGCATTCTTTCTCGGTTTTCACACTTTTCCAACCTGTTTACAGAACTCTTTTAAACTGTTCCAATCACTAACGATTGGACTGACTCCTTTATCCTAATGTTTTAAAAATCTCTGTCAAAGTCTAGATATTTTCCAAGTTTTCACTTTTATTAATCCTAAATTTAGGACTCCTAGAAATTACTGATAATTCTTTATCGTCTTTTTTTTTATCATTTCACCCCAAGCAAGACAGTATCACCACTAAGACGCAAGAGTTGCCATAACAAGAGTGAATTAAGCTGTGAAAACGTTATTGACGAAAAAGGACAATAAAAGAATAGGATTTAAAAATTCAGAAAATGACGATTGACTTTCCATTTGCATTTTTAAAGAATATTGTTGACGGGAAAGAAAAAAAGCCGGCAGACACTTCCACAGGCGAGAGGTGCGAAAGAAGACACTATTAGAATAGAACTTACATTTAAATCTTTCAACAGTAAAAAGATGGAACTTAGTTGCCAATCTTGTAGTATACTAAAATTCATGTGGTACGAAGTAGAAAAGCTCATCAGAAGAATTGTCATGAAAATATTTATAGAAAAGACAGAAGGAATCCTCATTACGGAAATGGGAAACTAACTGAGAATCCACATACCAGATCAGGACCGATAACATTACAGACCTTTAGTATCTGTCTATATTTCTGAGATGAGGTATTACGTACACTACTTACCTTGTTCGGACTATCTTCCTCATCTTTGTTGTTATATTTATCACAACGTTTAGGCCGCTGTACGCTCCGGCCTTCTTCATGATTTTTACCAGAGCTCATATTGCAATTTTCGTTGTTATTATTGCTTTACTCTGGCACTCCTTATTACTGGTGAAGAACTTGGAGAGGGGAATTAACAGGAGATAACTGCTAAATGACATCCATTAGACATGGCACGTGGAACTAGAACAGTCTACCCCAGTGAGCGAAATAAAGGGTTCGTTTCGACATTCCAACCACCAGCAAGAATATAATATAAAATCCTCGAACACTAATATTTCATGTTTATAATTTATTACATTGGAATCGTGATCACGATCCAATTCATCAGACCTACAAATTCAAAAAATATGTAGGTCTGATGACTTGAATCGGGATTACGATCCAATGTAATAAATTATAAACATAGAATCTTTGAGCCTTTTTATATATATATATATATATATATATATATATATATATATATATATATATATATATATATATATATATATGTATGTATGTATATAAGCAAATATATGGATATAGATCCGACAGTATGAAGAAAAATATATACGGAAAAAACAAACAAAAATCCTTATATACAATTATGCTGTTTTAATGTTAATATGTCAACGTCGGACGTTTCGGTCTAATAAACCATCTTCAGGACATATTCATAAAATATAATTAACATTATCAATTCAACATGACAAAGACGATGTACATAAGAACAAGACTTATCCAAACAGATAACTGAAAGTTTTATAAGATCAGCGCTCCGTTTAAAACATGGTCACGTTATATATATATATATATATATATATATATATATATATATAAGCAAATATATGGATATAAATCCGACAGTATGAAGAAAAATATATACGGAAAAAACCTTTCAAAAATCCTTATATAAAATTATGCTGTTTTAATGCTAATATGTCAACGTCGGACGTTTCGGTCTAATAAACCATCTTCAGGACATATTCAGCGCTTCGTTTAAAACATGGTCACGGAGCGCTGATCTTATAAAACATTCAGTTATCTGTTTGGATAAGTCGTGTTCTTATGTACATCGTCTTTGTCATGTTGTATTGATAATGTTATAATTTATGAATATGTCCTGAAGATGGTTTATTAGACCGAAACGTCCAACGTTGACATATTAACATTAAAACAAGCATAATTGTATATAAGGATTTTTGTTTGTTTTTTCCGCATATATTTTTCTTCATATATATATATATATATATATATATATATATTGCTTTCTTCCACTTCTCGTTTTGAAGTGTTCTCATACTCCACTTGTTATGTCTCTACAAATATTATTATTGATAATTATATTCCCACTAATATAATTATGATTGTAGTAGCAGTAGTATCATGAATACTGTTATTATTCCTTTTCTTCTTGCTTTCATGATGAAGTTGCTTTTGATATTTCGTTCAATTGCTGCTGGGATGACTCACTTCCTTTGTGTGCGTGGGAGACAGCGAATGAGTCATTATCAGAATAAATAGTCTACAAATAAGGGTTTCATTAGACTTCTTGACAACGAAACTTTCGGATGAAGGCTTTCTTTCTTGATCCTTATCATACGTTGTAATGGCATAATTAATTATTCTATAAATAATCCTCGCCATACAAATACCTCCATCGTGCAGACTCGTACGTAGATAGATAGATAGATAGATAGATAGATAGATAGATAGATAGATAGATAGATCTGCATAAACAGAGATGGATAGATCTGTCCAAACTGAGATAGATAGATAGATAGATAGATAGATAGATAGATAGATAGATAGATAGATCTGTATAAACTGTGATAGATTGATCTGTATAAACTGAGACAGATCTGAATAAACTGAGATAGATAGATAGATAGATAGATAGATAGATAGATCTGCATAAACAGAGATGGATAGATCTGTCCAAACTGAGATAGATAGATAGATAGATAGATAGATCTGTATAAACTGCGATAGTCAGATTGATCTGTATAAACTGAGATAGAGAGATGCGTATAAACTGAGACAGATCTGAATAAAGTGAGATAGATAGATAGATAGATAGATAGATAGATAGATAGATAGATAGATAGTGCACCGGGTAGCTAAGATATCTGTCTCCAAACATCTTTTCACTGTGCCATCTGTGCACCCTCTAGTGAGGGTGGGGGTCTGAGTAAGTATTTTGAAAGCGTCATCTCATCTTTTTCATTTTATCACGTGATTTATAATGTCTGTATCTGGTGTGTCCGAAATACATAAGTAGTTGCCATTTTCTAGTTCAGTGATACTTGTTTCATTAAGTGCTGAGCGAAGTTTTAATGTAATGCGCCAAACAAAATCTTGGCCAGGGTCAAAGGTGGCAGACAACGGACCAAACAACAGGATGCTTGCTGTCATGACCAAGAACCTAATGGCTAACTAATGCCGTGAGTAAAACACGAACCATTTCATTGTGGTACTATTTCGGAATCTTTTAGAATTGCAACATTATTAGAATGTGATTTTTTTGTAAGGATCATGAAATACAAAGGGATCTCCACCCCCACCCCCCGTATTCTTCCGGAAGCATTGGCAGAGGAGGAAGAAGAAGAAGACGAAAAGGTGATATTCCAGTCGGAGTAGATGCCGCAGTTGTAGTATCTCTTCCATTCCGGAGGACTTCGCTCCTACCTTGCGTATCCCACCGTTGAGTGACATTTGTTACGTAACGGTGGTATGACCAGCTTAGACAAGCTAAGACCAGCTTAGACCAGCGGCCCAAGTGGAAATACTCGGGTACCCACCTTATAAACCGACCCTCTGTCACAATTTGACTCTGTTTGGTTAAGATAAATCTCGGATCATGGAATACAAGCCTCCAGAGCCATTCATGGTAGATGGTTACTATTAAAATAATTATATTAAGTGACATGTGACATGAGTGAAAGAGGGGGCGGTAGGAATTGAAAATTATGAGGACAAGCAGGTTAGATAAAGGTTAGTCCTTGGTCTGATAAGAAAGATTAAGATGAATTCTTTAAAAAGAACTCCAGCTTGTTTTTATGCCTGGTATCAAATTCAGACAGATTTTAAACTAGTTAAAAGCCGCCCAATCAGGCGGCATTTAAGCTAGCTCCTGTGGAAGAACTCAAAATTGATCGCTGCATTTAAGTATTGCATTAATATTTAAGCTTACCTTTTAAAAGTTCAACGATATTTCTTCTGCCACCTCTTAATTTAAAGAAAGTTTGATGTTATTCCTTACTTTCCGTACAAACAATTACTTTTATTTTATAGGTGACTTTCGCTGGATTTGGCAATTAATTTCGATTATTCCAAAATTTATTTCCAAGCTATAAAAATTGTTATCGTACAAAAAAGTCAGTCGCAAAAAATCACACTCTTTGGGTCCTTTCACTGGATCTAACCAACGCCTTTATCCACTGTGCCACGTGTCCTTGAGGATGTTAAAGGCGTTGGTTAGATCCAGTGACGTGACCCAAAGAGTGTGAGTTCAAGGCAGTAGAGAAATTTCAGAGGGAAAATTAACAGGAGATAACTGATAACTGACATCTATTAAACATGGCACGTGGAACTAGAACAGTCTACCACAGTGAGCGAAATAAAGGGTTTAGTTCGACATTCCAACCACCTGAAAAAGTTGTAATAAATATGGCGACAAAGATGAGGACAATAGTCCGAATAATGTAAATAGTGTACATAATACCTCATCTCAGAAATATAGACAGATACTGAAGGGCCGAAACGTTGTAATAAATATGGCGACAAAGATGAGGACAATAGTCCGAATAATGTAAATAGTGTACATAATACCTCATCTCAGAAATATAGACAGATACTGAAGGGCCAAAACGTTGTAATAAATATGGCGACAAAGATGAGGACAATAGTCCGAATAATGTAAATAATGTACATAATACCTCATCTCAGAAATATAGACAGATATCTCTTGAATGCATCACGTATCTAATTTTCTATTAGAAATTCTGCTTGAGTTTATTTTTATGAATTTGAACAGAAACCTTGAAGAAGTCTCAAAAGAAAAAGAATTCTACACCACTGAAAAACAGTATGCGACTGGTATACCGTATTGAAATATGCCTATTATGAAACAAAGTTCCGAGCGAATATGTGATGAAAAAAACAACAGTACAAAATAGAATGAATATAAATTGCTCTATTGTGATCCTTGATCTATTTTCAGACAATTCATTCATATATTTTCTTTTGCGTTTATAAATTCCGACGTAGTTCATTCTGTTCGAGGGAATCGATTTTATTCCAATCATAGATCCATTCAATGCGGCTAAATAATGCGTGAACTATTCAATTAAAATGAAAATGCCCATATCTTTAATCGATTATTCAAGTTTATCGTGGGAATCTTCGATATTTTTTCTTTAAATATGCAACCATTCTATTACGCCTTTTCTGACCCGGGAAAAGCTAACGTAAGCATTTTTTTTTAAGATGTGAGATCAATAATTAACTTTGACATCGAACAGTAAATGAGTTGTGTCTTTGACTCACAACTTTCAAAGACCTGCAGATTTAGTTCTAAAATCGCTTGCTTATTGTCTGAAATTCCATTAAGTCTTTACAAGAAATATTCTTATTGAACAGGCGACAATAGAAATGTTAGTGATTAAGATCCGATTTTCGTACTTTTTTTTAAATCATTTCACAACAAGCAAGGACATAAAGCCACTAAGACGCAAGAGGTTTACTGAGTGTTAGAGAATATGAAAAAAACACTCTTAAGGAGGGAGAACAATAAAACAACAAGAATTAAGAAGTTATTTGCAAAGGTAAATTTCAACTAATGACAAAAGGCTGCTTTCACTAAGACTCGACCTCTTAATGTTAACGAGTGGCCAAAGAAAGAAATTGACTCTTTTCAACGGTTTTAAGTCTGACACAAGACCATTTAATTGGAATATGCTGTAATGAATAAAGTCATATATATATATATATATATATATATATATATATATATATATATATATATATATATATATATATATATAAACAGACCACTTTAAGGTTCCATGTAATAAATTATTTCACCACAGCCCTTTTAAAGGACCGCGGATCATCAGACTTTACTTCCAAACAAAATGAAAAGAAAATTTACACATTTTGACGGGCCGTATTAAACATATGTAAATTAACGAAGTGAGGAAGTGAGGGGGGAAAGAAGACATTTGCTCTGGATTTACATTGAGCTCTCCATACGGATTACCTAGTTTTTCATAAACTAAATATATACATACATATATATATGATAGTAATGTTTTTTTTTCTGCTTAGTTTGCAAGTGATTATTCTTCACAAGACTAAAGTTATATTATGAATCAAATTCGCTTTATTAACCAATTAACCCACCAGACGGGCTTGTTAGTCATCACTCTAAGGAGACATATATATATATATATATATATATATATATATATATATTAAGCGTATATATGTGTGTGTGTGTGTATGTATTAAGCTTTTCACCCCAAGCATGCGGGAAGACACTAGGACGCAAGGGGTTACAGAAAATTTGGAGCAAGATCAGATAGGAGTGATAGAAGAAAGGATAAGGAGAAAGGTAGTGGATAGATCAAGGCAACTGGAGATGTCGATTGACATTACATTTGAATAACTGGAGATTATAGCTCTCAGGGAAACTGGAATAGGGAAGGGAGTTCCACATGCGAGAGGTGCGAGACGTGAATCTATTGGAGTAGAAGAGACGGCTACATTTAGGAGTTTCGACAGTGAAAGGGTGAGAGCGGGATGCCAGCCTCGTAGGGCGCTTGAATTCATGAAGTCTGGGAACCAGCGAATGCAGCTCCTCTGAGCAATATATATATATATATATATATATATATATATATATAACGGGTATTTTGACTGCAGTTTTTTCACATATACATTTTCATAAAAAAAAATGTCTTGCAACGATTTTTTCAATATTTTAGTTAACGTTTCTTGCGTACGATAGAGTATATGTTTGCGTTCAATGAATATAGGCATTTCCCGAATGTTTGTGATAAAAGTGTTTTCAGTCATGCTGTCAAGGTCCAGAGTCATGTAAACGTGTTCACTTTCCCGCGAATGGGAGATTTTGTTGTGACGTCACAGGCGTGCGAGATGCTTCATTGGTTAAATGTGCTACGGAAAAATATTTTGTTTATCATCGATTTTTTTTTAAGTTTTTGGTAAGGGCTTCTAATATCTGGAATCTTTCTAGTATATATGTGCTGTCTGGGTGTACTTCTCTGGAAACCGTTAGGTAGCTGGTTAACCAGCTGGATAGAGTAGTGGTTGTGCTTCATACCTACGAATTTGATGTTTGTAAATCATTGGGAATACAGTTCTCTACCGTGTACCTAAATTCATATATTTTAATTGATGTGATGCTGTGTTTTTTTTGGGGGGGTTGTTTTTTTTGTTAAGGCTTTGTTAGTGGTGGTGACGAGATTGTGTTTAAAATTTTGTACGAAAATAATAATTTGAATACATTTATCACGTTCAACTGGGGATGTGTTCTGATATATAATGCTTTTATTTCGGGTATAATCTAGGTGCATTTGGTTGTAATAAAATAGATTTATTTTATTTTTATTTCATTCAATATTGTTGTGATGGAGGTTTTTTTTTATAGTTTTAATTGCCTTTGAAATATTTAGAAAATCGGTTGTTTACATCTCGCCGGAGTCGATCCATCAAATCTACTAATCAACCATTCGACTATGCATGGAGTATTGCTGCCATATATGGTCTGGAGCCCCTTCTGTTTGTCTCAAGGCCCTTGAGAAAATCCAAAGACGGATATGCAATGTAATTGGCCCTGATCTGGCATCTCGTCTGCAGTCGCTCTCTCACAGACGTGCCGTCGCCTCCCTCTGTCTTTTTTACAAATACTTTCGCGGTAACTGCTCCGATGAGCTGCTTTCGCTGGTTCCCAGACTTCATGAATTTAAGCGTTCAACTAGGCTGGCATCTCGCTCTCACCCTTTCACTGTTGCAACTGTTAAATGTAGCCGTCTCTTCTACTCCAATAGCTTCATGTCTCGCACTTCTCGCCCGTGGAACTCCCTCCCCTTTTCCTGTTTCACTGATAGTTATAATCTC